AATATTTTAAATGTTAATTATTGTAATATTTTAATATTTAATAAGAATTATTGTGATTAGACGGACAAGATTTAATATACACTTAGGAATTTATGTTAGTATGGTATTCTGTACTTTCAAGTTACTTAGTTGTGGCTTTATAACTCCAAGTCATTACATAACTTTCCAAAATGAATGTTATTTCCTAAGAATGTACAATATTATTATATCTGGTAAATAAACTGAAATGGAATCATTTCATCAGTAGATTGAATATCTTTGGCTCTGTTCGCAAACACTGAAAATTTGTAGACTTTTACTCTCTGAGAGTATATAAATAAAAAAATAGTTTTCCGTGCTTAAATTTGCAGGTTTGACAGAGAGATCGGCTCTTACTTATTACAGGCGAAATTAACTCTTTAACACTCTGAAGCTAAAACTCGGCTAAATAATATTTAATTGTTAATTCCGAACCGCAAATAGAATACAACACGTAAGATCTGAGGTTCTCACGGAGGTGAGTACAAATATGACTGTCTTCTAAGTTGTAGCGCAGTGCAGTCTGATAAAAGTTTGCCAACGTTTCAAAGGTCCTTGCTGCCTCCATCATCAGGGCAAACACTTTACAATTGAAAATATTAATTGGTTACTGTTGTTTAAGAAAATCATCACTGTTTATTCTGAGAATTAAAGGAATGCCATTAATACACTACGTTTACAAATTCCAAAGTTATTTATTATTGAAGTATTTGGTAAACTTAACTTCCGCTGGGCTTTATAGGGTTAAAACTCAGTGACAAATGTGTGTACCTCATGCTTTAGTATCCAGATACTCTATATTTTACCAAGAGAATATGCGTACATAAATTATTCCTCTAAACATTTGTAACCTATTGATCTTTGTAACGGAGATGAGGTATGTTTTCTTTGAGGTCAGAACTAAATTCTTAAATATATTTCTGAAGTTGGACCAAGAACCAGAATATGTGTATAATGGCGATGTATCTTAAATACTGAGCTATAGCTAGCATCCCAAGACTTAATTTTTAAGTCAACTGTTAAGATAAATATATAAAATAAGAAGATATTTCTAGTGAGTATTTTAATTATCTTATTTTAAATACATTGTGATTTGACGGAATAACCAAATAATTTAATTTTAATTTAATAAATCACAATATGACGCAACTACACTATTTTATGAAAATTAAGTAACTTTAGTAGTACTCTGTAACGACGAATCTGTCATTGGAGATCAACTATTGAAGACATCTGTACATTTGTATCTATAACGATTCTAAGACGGCAGCCATGCATATTTCTGAAGTTGGACCAGGAACCATAATATGTGTATAATGGCGATGTATCTTAAATACTGAGATAGCATCCCAAGACTTAATTTTTAAGTCAAGTGTTAAGATAAAAATATAAAATAAGAAGATATTTCTAGTGAGAATTTAAATGTGTAGAGTCGGACTGTCGAAAGTTATATTTTTGAAATAAATATTTTTTTATTATGTACGTTGTTACGTGTGTTCAATACAGTACAGCCGATTTGAAACACGAGTGATTTTTAATTCTAATTATTTGTTTTCTATTAGAAAGATCTGTGCAACATCCAGCGTATAGACGCAGTAATAAAAACTCCAGTTTGCAATGTTATTATCCACTTAACTGTTACACTCTTATGTGACTTGTCCCTCGAGATATCGAATGTGATGTGATAAAATCCCGTATGATAAAAATGCGCCAAGTTTGTCGTTCTCTATATCGATATCCCGAATTATAGAAATAAAAATGTTAACATGTAAAGTACATCTCTTATATCGTTTAATCGGCAATAGACGACTAAACTGAAGACGCGAACTATCGACCAACTTTATTTATCCTTGTTCTAGGAAGGGCGAAGCTAAATGACGAGGGAGGTGGCCTAGAGGCCAGGCCAGTTCAACTTCTGTTTCCTATGCAAACAGGAAATACACAGTTCTTGACACAGCGAAGTCGATATTTTCCAATTAACTAATTAACTGCCGAACTAAACCAACAAACTAAGGAATTAATTATTAACACACCCTTTCTTATTTGCAAATATTGTTCTCGGATTTCTGTTTTCAAACATACTTAATGCAAGGTATATTTCTTTTCCTTCAAAGTGAAATTTTAAATTTTAAACCCAAATAAAATAAGTCGTATTAGCTTCTCATATTATTTTTTTTTTGCAGAAATAAAAAACTGAACGATAGAAAGTATTTACCGAATTTCATAAATTTCAATATGTTTTTCGTAGTACCCGACGTTTGATAAATGTTCAAAGAATTTGTTAACAGTTATGAGAGGACATGAACATATACATTTCAAATTTAAAGACAGTGGCTTCTTCTGTCTGCAGGAACATGAAGTACCTAGCTGTGTGCTTGCTGGTTGTAGCGGGGTCATGTCTGGCCGATTTGTCAAGAAGGAACACATACGGCAGTTACTACGACAAGCTGGCAGATGAGTGTGAGTGTGTCAGAATTTCGCCGCTAGATGGCAGACTATACGAGATCTTACGTGATGGAAGGTTTATTTGAAAGCCGTTATAAGGCTTGTTAATACTCGGTTAACCTTCTATTAAATGGGAAGTTTTACGGTGGAATTATGATTTTTACCTTTTATTAAACGATCCCATAAGCTAATAAAGTGGTTAGCAGAACATATGATTAAAATTTGTGTTCTTTAGTGTTTATGCACACAATTTTCATTGCCACTGAACTCCATTGTCCGGAATCTTAAGGTTATCAGACAAAAACTCAAAGTTTAAAGCCATTTTTAAAATTATCACAAATTAAGTGTTTCTTTCAAAATACGTGGACATGTTTTGCTTTATCTCCGTTCTGTATTTCACAAGCGTCACAGATGTGAATTATTGTTTCTTGGCACAGAAATAAACTATCCGGTCGATATGTTATTATTTTACAATAAATGACACGTTACCTACTGTTTTAATTTTTTTTGTTAGTGTCAGAGATCTTCATGAAGGTAGGAATACTTTGAAACCGATCAAAAATGCCAGTCACTGGACCACAGGGTTAAACTTTCAGTAAAATGACAATCAGTCACCTTAAGCTTGGGTTGGAGCCAATTCGGGAAACTTTGTACGTATCAGACAATGGAAAATACCCACAAACAGAATGTTTGATATATAACATAGTAATTATCACAAACAATTAGATGGTTAGATACAAATACGTTTTATTTGTAATCAATGCGTTTTTTTTTAACAAAGTGAATAAAATTAAGGGACAATGGAATGATCCCATCTGTGCATCCTTATCTCCAAAAAAATATTCAACGAAATCTAATTAAATTTGGTGTTTGGATTCAACAATAACATCGCGGTGTCATTGCGTAATTTGAAGTCCACTATCCTGATGCTTCGCCCTCTTTCAGTGAAGGTGCCGTTCCTCAGGTATCAGCTGGCAGTGGCTGTCGTCGAGGTTGGGGCTAATTCTGAAGACAAATCTTACCCTGTCGCAAACCACCTATTGACGCCAGAAGGCCTTGGACTACCGGATACAGTATTTTCGAGCTTGGAGGTAATTTCTATTGGTTCACACACTTACCACCCACCCTCATACACATACAATCTCCATCATTCAGCATCTCAGCAATACAATGACTAGTCGACTCATTCGTTTTTAACGTTAAGGTAGAGCCAACGTTTGTCCGAAACAAAATTAGGTAATAATTATGAAACGAGGCAGATTAAAGTAAATATGTGGTAACAAAGCTACTGAAACATCAAGTATAGGAATGTAACACGCAGTAATAAAACTGGAAAGATTTACTCAGTGGAGTACATTGACATTCCAACTGTGTTCCTCACACCAAGTCATGTAGAATCGTTGTTTAACTGGTGTTATCTGAGGGTAGTGATACGTCTTAGGTCATTCTTGCAATAATAACATCGCAGGTAATGCAGAATTGAGTACCCACGTAGAAACATTGACCCTTCTGGTTTTGCAAGTTGAGTACCCTGTGAAGAACCGACCAACAGGGAGGTGTTGACAGAGGTATTCTTCGCTCACGCTGGGGTGTGACGAACGCCTTCAAAGGAATTCACCCTTCTTGTTATCACTTTATTGTACTGAAGAATCTATTTTCTCTTTCGTTCTTCATGATAACGAAACGCACCCTTCATTTATACATTTCTGTTATGTCAAAAATGGATTTTCTCAAAACGTCACTCCTCTGACGTGCAGATTTAAAAGGCTTTTGTACACTCTCCAAAAGTTTCGTAAGACATTTCAGGACCAAGCTGTATACGCAGTGGCAAAACTACTAGATATGACCGATTTTTTTATAATCTTTCCAATATACGCATGGTTTCAGGAATACTATTCGTATCCACCTTACATCCGGAGTCGATACATGGACCAGAATTCATTTTGAAATGCTCATAGTGTCTCAGCTAGTCAACAGAATTTTCGTATTTTACGAAACTCGATGTTCGTTGCCGTGCTCACAAAACCCGCCAAAGAATCCTGTAGTGAACCCGACTGCTCCAATTCACAACCTCCAAACCCATCTAACCTACCATTTGAATATTATTCTTCCGCCTACACCAATGTCTTCCTAGTGGTCCCGTTTGTTCAGGCTTTGCGACCAAAATTTTGTACTGATTTCTTGTCTCCCCCATACGCGCCACAAGCCCTACCAGCCTCATGCTGCTTAATTTGCCCCACTCTATAATATTACCTATAGAGCTCCTCATCATACTGTTTTCTCCAGAGTCCTGTTACCGTTCTCAGGTCACCCTCAATCTGTTTTCGTAAAGAAAACTGAGAGGCAAAGTTACACACTCACGCAAAACAAGAAAAAATTATAATATTGTATTTTTCAATCTTTACGTTTCTATTGTGAAGTGCATGGTAGCAAGCATTACGATAATTTTCTCGAAAATGCGATTTTTATTTATTACTGGCGGTGCCCGAATTTATAACTTTTGTTGGGCAAGGCCGTGGTCTAGGCAACACTGAGTTTTCTCCGTGGCATCCCAACAATTACTCTATTCACACACAGAAGCAGGCAATGGCAAACCACTTCTGGATCATCTGCCAAGAACGTATATGAACAGGTCCCAGTCCGAGAAAAGGATGGAAGGATCCTGTTCATATGGACCTGTCCTCAGACAGAACACTAAATAATAATCTAAAACATTCAGAAGGAACTTAAGGTGTCATAAAACACGAGACGTAATTTGAGAAAAAGCTTTCGTAATAGTGATCTTACGCGTTATATAATAGTGAAATAGGTAACAGTGCATACAAACGCGTAACCAGGCTCAAGGAATGACGAATTCTTTGCTACAGGAACTTGACACTCCAGCCGGATTCAGCAGTCATTTATTCAGCCTGGTGACCAAGGACATGGGACTTAATGTATACCACGTCATTGACCTGATCAGGACGAGTTTCGCCTGCCCCGATAAGAATTCGGGATGCTGGGATATCGGCGATGTTGGCAGTAACTGCTGTTGACATGACAACGAGGTTAAATTAAATCTCCATTTCTGGTTTTCTTACCCAACATTTTATGGGTCCATGTAGATGTGTATGTTCCTTGTACTGAACAAAGATAACTGAATTTGTATTACTAAGCTTATAAAATGATTCATGTAGTGAAATCACGAATAAACGTTAAAATATTACCAACACGATGTAAAAATCTGTAGCTCAAATCGTGTTTTTTTATCATTTGAAACTAACACAGAATAGATTCGTTCCAATATACTTCAGATTGGAGTACTCAAGTTTTCCAAATGAATTGTTTCCAACTTTGCATATCCATTGATATTGATATTTACGTATCACTGATACAAATCTAATTTTCCACACAGTTAGAAGATGTCATCTCAACTGATTAGTCAACAGTGTACCTAAAGCATCGGAAAACTAGAAACAAAATTAGTGATGTAATCAGTAACTGAGTTTAGGTTTTTACATACAGGCAAAAATTGTTCTAACTTCTCCTCAGTTAAATATTCATATCAACAAAAAATGTTTCAAACAAATATTTTTGAATGCGTAATTTTGACTTCCGTGAATAAGCAGCGTCGAATGTCGAAGATTTTTAACATTTTTTCGCCAAACATTAAAGCTGAGTCTTCAGCGTAAAACGCCGAAGTATATATTAATTCAGATGTAAAATCATAAAAAAAATAATTGTTTCAGACTTTGATAAGACGTAAATTTAATCACGCGCACGACTTATATATAATTTAAGATTTGCATAGGATTTTTACTTCATTGATACGAACCAAAATCGAATTTGCTCTATAAATTCATATAAACCACCAATAACAAACATCATATAAATACGTGATATTTGAAGTCGTCTTCAGTTGTCTAACTTGTGACGCTGAGTAGTATATGGTGTGTCTATTCAATTCGCGCCCTGTCAGTAAATTCATTCCGTTCAACTGTCTGTCTGTCTGTCACCATGTGGTAACCTCTCTGTGAAAGAATATTATTAAAATATTTGATTGATGATGGAGCGGTAATTGTGACAACGCCCCACTACATAAAGGCATTTTGGTGTATGCGCCTGACTCATTGAAGGCTTGTAGCATTATTATTGTAAGGCATAATTAAAAATTAAATTTTCGTCCAGTTCAGATATTTTATCTGCTTATACTTTTGTGTGGGGCAATATTATCAGAAATCCAAGTCCTTCTATATCCGTTTTAAATATATTTCGAAACATGGTTACAATGATTTCAAAGTGCTTTTAGGTCAAGACTCAGTAAGGGTCATTATACTTTGTAGTTAACTGTTCTTATGATCATTATGAACAAGGGGAAATTTCACAACGTTTAAGATTTTCAACCTGGTTACTAACACAAAATGTTATCTCCCGTATCAATTTGTTTACAACATGCAATGGGATTAAGCTATACAATGTTAAATCCCCAATCATTCACTGATAATTATTCTGATATTAACATTTAATAGAGATTTCATCAGGTTTAAACAAACATTCTTGCCATAAATATGTCGAAATTTCAACACTGTCAATCAATTTCACTTTGCTGTGTAAATATATAGAGTATGCTCATTATCTGAACTCTTGACTAAATTCTCGGTATTTCGAACAACCTTACTCAAATAGGATAAGTTAAGAAATTTGTAGATGGCTGTCTTTTGAGTTGCTGTCCTCATGATGGAGGCAGCAGGGACCTCTGAAACGTCGGTAAACTTGTACTAGACTACACGGCTCAACAATCCAGAAGACAGCCATATTCAGGCTTACCTGATAGACCCATGTAAGATTTTAGGTTTGCAAATCTTACATGGGTCTATCAGGTTCGCCATGTCTGTGTTTATGTCTATCTGCCTGTTTTTTTCACTTATAACAAATCGAGCATTTCTGAATGGATTTCCGGAATATTTTATATTGGGGAGCTGTGTAAGAAATATACATTTCGTCAAGTTCTAACAGAATAATGCATATAAAATCTCGCAATTAATGCTAAAGTTTCCTGTGTTTCAATCCAGCCATTTGCTTTATAATGTAAATTTAAAACGTAAAACGTCGTTTTACGTTTTATATTTACTACACGATGGATAATATCCAAGAAAGGTCCAGAGATAGGAATTAGCTCTATCTAGTGAGCCCAACTGTGTAGGAACCTGAAGACGGAGATAGAGTCCCATCTCCGAAACGTCGTTTTTTACGTTTTATATTTACTAGACGATGGATAATATCCAAGAAATTTTTTATTCAATTGACTCTTCACTATCGTCAAGAAGTTAGATTTGATATAAGTTCTAACAGAATAATGCATATAAAATCTCGCAATTAATGCTAAAGTTTCCTGTGTTTCAATCCAGCCATTTGCTTTATAATTTAAATAAAAAAAAATTAAAAGAAACAATACATTTGCTTTATAATTTAAATAAAAAAATTAAAAGAAACAATTTTTTGGTCTCAATTTCCACGGAAACCAAAGAAATTTGATCTCTCTTAGATTTCATGCGAACTAAACAATTATTGTTTAACACTGTGAAAAACGATGTTCATCTAGATAGATCAAATTAAAATAACATTTCCTGAGTCGAAGGAAACAAAGCGTCTCCATCACGAAGACTACATGAAAATTGGTGTTTACAAATTAAAACATGTCCCATACATTAATTAAAATATCAAATTCCGCTTTGATGATTATTTTTAGAATCACATGTATCCCATAAATAAACTCTGCGATGTTATGTTGTAAGGTTCAAACAGCGTCAAATGAGATGAGAATATGATCACTAATGTTAAGTAGGTAAACATTTTGAACGGGGTAGATCATCCTATTTAATTTTAAAGAGACTCTCAACTCTCCGAATTTAAGACAACACACCAGTCTCACAGACACTGATGTTTCTTTGGTTTAAGGACGAAGTTTCCTGTATTCCTTGTGAGCTAAAATCGTATGTGAATAAAACATCTTACGTTATGCATAAGAATGACCCATGTCAGGCCCAACTTCTGAACCGATCGAGAATGAATGCTATGTTATCACCAACGCAGAAAACAGAAAAAGTAAATTTGTGATCTGTAAATATTTTAAGCAGCGTGAGGATGATAGATAAATGCCATGTACTCAGCAGATGTTCAGTATCAAACATGTATCAGGACTATCTCCAGCCGGATTACAGGATTAGCTAAAATCAATCGCAGAATTATTGCACAGTAAGACACTTAAAATCCTCTGATTGAACTAGCAACCGATTTCAGACTGTGATACCATAGCAGCCATATTTTATATTGCGTATAACAAAGTTCACTGGGATATGTAAGAACCATGTTGACTTAAGTTTAAAAAAAAACGCAAATTAACTCTCACATTCCGCAGTCAAAACAGTGACTGAATATTTTTCGAAGACCAGTTTCCATATCAGTTTTAAAACCTGTATTAAATGACTCCAGTTTTGTTTGGTTGACAGTCCATCGATACATCAATATCTGAATATAATTTCAATGCTTATTAACAATATACTACATGTTTCGACCATAATTAGTCATCTTCAGGTTATTATCTTTAAATGTTTAAAACTAATATATGTGACTGCTAAATTCTTACACTAACCTGCACTCCATGCCTTTTAAACCTGCTTTTGTGTTTTTCAGAACAGATGTAAACCATAAGAGTTTCCTTCATAGTGTACGTAGGATTTACACGGTTGATAAGGATACAAGCTTTTTTGAGTGTAGCCAGTAGGCAGTGTTGCGAGTCCTGAGTGCAGATGATACTTTGGAAGATATCTCCGCAACGGGATTATGGGATTAGCAACTGAAATGAAAGGTTGTTCTTGTTATGATGGGGATTCTCAGCTTCGTGACTCGTATCTCTTTATCTTGTAACATACCAGGAGTGCCCAAACTACAGGGGCCACGCGTTACGTTAGTCAAATTTGCGTTTAGGTTCAGGTTTTGAACGTTGCAGTATGTCGTAATAGACGGTGACTAATTTAAATATATATTTTAAAACTCTGTTTTAATGCGTTACTTATAACCATATAAGTAACATTGATCTACATAATGATTACAATAAGGCTGTTATATTGATATTGTTGATAATATTAAAAAGTAACGACATAAAACGTTTTTATATGTCTGTGTTCAAAGTGACTATAGCAATAACCGGTCAGTTCGTGTCTGAATAAGTGGGCAGACACGATCAACTGGCTGAGAGGGCTCTGAAGGAGGGACTTCCGTTCATGGACCCTGAAAATACATATAGATATAACGTCATAATTAATCTTCCTTTCTTCCTTTCTTTCTTTCTTTGTAATCGATTAATTCATGGGCCAGTTAGTTACTCAATAAAATATTCCCTACTGAAAACTACAGCAAGACGTCACTTTGTTTCCTGCTCCAACGATCTCGTTCAATCCATTCCGTTGTTTCTAAGCAGCATCAACTTTCCTATTCTACTGTATTCACTGCAGAACTTAATGAGACAGACAAAGCCTTTATTTAACTTAATGCAAGACACGAATCTACTGCATGCACTCAATTCGTTTTAAATTCTAGATTAGAGCGTCTGGCTCTGTGTATCTAATCTTACTACTTTAGCATTTGAGGATTATGTTACAAAGACCACTTTGGACGGTTAGAATTGTTGTTCTTTTCTTTTTAAATCAACATCTCTCCTGCTAATGTGACTGTGTACTTTTCACTACCCATTGTAACCTGAACTTTTCAGGATAAATGATCTCTATCATTTTCAACTAAGTTTGTGATCCGTTGAGAGAGTATTTCGAGAGATCGAAGTTATACATTACATACACATGGACACAGAGAACGTATAAATTAATGTATGTTCTCCACTCAGACAGTAAAGGATTACACTGTGCATAAAGTAATCTTTTATTCTCATCTTGTAAATTGTGTAAGGTAATTAATGAATGGAGGAAAATTATAATTTAAATACGGAAATATCTAAACAAAGAGAATGAAAGTGAAAAATCAATAAATAAAGGAAAGGAAAGAAGGGAGTATATTTCCGTCCTACCATTTCGGTGACATTGACTGATGTACCAAACAATACATCTGCTTTAAAAACTCTTATAAGTTCTTGTATCAAGGAAAGTATACGAAACTGTATGTCTAATAAATCCGGGAACACAAGAGTATTTTTTTTTGGCAAAATACAAAAAAAAGTT